CTACCTAATCGGTGAGCGCCCATTGTCATAATTGATATTCCCGATCACAACCGACAGGACAACCGGCCCGTGGCTCAGTGGTAGAATGTCAAACTCCATGACCAAAGATCCAGCGTTCGAATCTCCAGTGATCCCCACTTGGGGTTGGGTATGACTGGCTGATGACGCTTAACAAGCCAGTCCGGTCTCCCTTGTCTTTGTCGGCAACACCTTATCTAGATCTACTATTAGTCGCTGTGCGACTGCTTGCGAGGGTTCTAGTATGAGCCCCAAGGCACAACGGAACAAGCATGTTTCGTAACCTACCTAATCGGCGAGCGCCCACTGTCATAGTTCAGAAAGGCGTTTGGCCGATTTTCTGCTGATATATAACGACTGCTTCTTGACCTGTGGGTGAACACTGCGCGGTTATTTCGCATTCAACTCTGTTAGCGCAGAAACTGGGGCCCGATTTGTAAAACACAAGTCCAACAACTTCTCTAAAATTTCGTCAGGTTTCGATGGACGAACCCATTAAGCGTTATCTGCTAACTGGTGTTAGTTGGGGAACACCAAGAACGCACATAGGAGCCGAAATCTTCGAATTTTCTTGACAGAACAGAAGAAAATAAAGGGGTCATAGTTGGCCCCCGTGACAGGATGAAGACACTTTTTTGCATTCAGTTACCCACTTTAGGAGTAAAATTTAAAAATCGTTTAATTTGATCCAACCAAACTGCTGCCGCTGGTATTGTTGTTATTGTTTTTGGTGGTGGTGGTGGTGGTGGTGGTGGTAGTAGTAGTAGTAGTAGTAGTAGTAGTAGTAGTAGTAGTAGTAGTAGTAATAGTAGTAGTAGTATTAGTTTTCTAGGATAATAGACGGCTCCACTCTGTTTTGGGCTAGAAGTGATGAAAGAACCTAATTGCTGAAGAATCGCTGCTTGAAATTCTCAGACCCGGACCAAGAATGACAGGATTTTGGGGCGACCCATAGGGCACTTAACCGAGGGAATAATTTTAGCCATAGATATGAAGGATTACAATTGTACAATTCCCCAGCATCGAACTCTGTGGTAATTTATTGCACCTTCAGTACTCTGACCATTTCTGGCCGCGTGAGAAACCGCTCTGTCAAGGCCTATGCACATTTTCTGGAAGTAGCAATCTTGCAAAGGCAGTCGATCATGGATGTAACTGAGACGTCAAGCTAAACGGCCAGATTGACAAATGTCAGGAGTCGCACGCGAGCAGGCGACTAGACAGTGAGATGAGATTGATTTCCGTTCGGCCTAGGTCTCCCAGGTCAAGGCGATAGGGGGAACTACTAAAAAGTTAGGACTTATGCACTTATGCTCACTTCTACGTCCACCCGTCTAGCGTAGCTTGTTGACTGACCAGGTGTACGGTATGAAGATTTAATGGAATGATGATAAATTGTTGTCTTGGACGAAAGACCAGAATCTCTGAACAGGCTGCACGAAGAAACTCGCCTTTTGTACGATAGAGTTTTGAAGGCTATGGAGTCTACGGCGAAAAAGAGAATAGTCAAGGGTCCCTTGCAAATGCCTGGGGCATTTGCTTCGGATACTTCCTGCGTGGATAAATATACAAAGAAATTGGCTATTTGAAAAAACCGCCTGAACTACATGGTCGTCCGGGCCAGAAGACCTGATGTTGTAGACAGGGTGATCGTAAGGAAACAAGCTATGAAGTCACGAAATTTTATGATACATGATCAGTCAAAACCTCTTAATGTTATTCTAGGTGATCCTGGATGTAGCAATTTATTTGTATTTGACATCTAAATGTGTTACTTCTAAACGTTCCATTTTGCGCTCTCCGATAATACATTATAGGTAGTTACTGATTAGAGTATCGATTGTTCAATTACTTTACGCTTCTGCCGATACTGGTAAACGAGGCAACATGAGCTCGCGTCTCGTCCCACTAGGCAAAAAAGGTAGGTTAAAAATAAAAGGTGTGAGGCGTGATACAGAAGGCCACTCTTTCCAATGAAAATATTTTTAAATTTTCTCCTCGAGTTTATGCTAGAGAACCTAAATCGACTTTGAGGTGCGTGGCTGGGAACGTGGGACGGGGTACCGGAAAAAACGCACAATACCCCGTTGCCAATCAAGGTTCACAGAGGCGCTAGTATATAGGACCATTCTTGGCATTTCTCTCCCCTATGAGAGCGAATATAACTTCAAGCCGCCCTCCCCCCAGTACGGTTTTGTCAGTAGCGCTAAACACGGTTCCTAGGTCTTAGTCATGCAGATGGGTGCACGCCCACTCTGATACGTTTCCGTTATTTGCGCTAGTCCGTTAAACGCACTACCTGTCGGCATAGCCTGTCTTCCGTGATCAGCTCATTTTACCCTGCCTGACAGACCCGCTCAACAGTCAATTACTTTATCCCGACCTACTGAGGACAATGTCTCCTGGTGCATAATTTTGCGGATGAGTGTTCTTACCGCATACGTTTTTCACTTATTGCGAGTAATTTATAGAAGTCTAATTACCGGACAGGATTGGGGGGCCAAGGCAACAAAAGAGCGAGTAATCACCTTTCTGGCAAGGGGGGAGGAGGTAATTAGTAACCCTCGTATTTTAGGTGGCCTCAGGTTAAATTCAAGGCGTTAATAGTGGTTCTGAGGGTTAGGATAAAAGTTAGGACACAGGAATAGGTACCCCCGTAAGGTAACGTGCAGTGAGCGGGGGTTACTTATTCAGGTGTTCGGCCTTCTTCCTAAAATCTGATTGGTGGGGCGATACACAGCCTCAAATATCTCCAAGTGCAGCCAACAGGAAGACGGCCCGTGGCTTGGGAGGTAAGCGCGTTAAACCCAAATGCTCGGATTCAGATTTTCGGCCACCCAGGCCTTGACCAGCTTGTGACAGCAAATAAGCCGGGAGCGCCCATTAAAATCCTCTCGCTCTGGGCGGTATTCGTTGTGCCAGGCGAGCACAGGTGCTCGTCACTCCTCACACTCACTGAATGGCGCACACGTCTGATTGCGAAAATATAAACAGGTAAATGCGGACTCCAGAACCGGCCTCATCGGTGTCGTGTCTGTCGTCGCTGACATACCGTCTAATCATAATTACGCATTAGTTCCGCCTTTGGTGGAAAGTTGACACGTCCACCACCAACCCTTCATCTCGGGCAGTGAAATCCGTTCTGGGACTTAGACCAAATGCGGTGCTACATATCAATACGCCTCTCAACACTGAAATTGGGCGGACACCCAAGCGCCGCTGTAATATGGGGCTAGGACCGTTTTAAAACATACTGTCGGCATACGCCCCACGTCCGCCTTTGACGACGCAACCATGGCAGCTGGTCATAGAGCAGATAACGGACCTCTGAATAGATTCCAATTCCAACGAGCAATACAACCACTATGGTGACGAAGTGCTTTGAGCCGGTAAGATAATATTACGAACTAGAAAAGGTCCACACAGACCTCGGTCGTAAATGATTTACCTTTTCGCTTCCACCAGTGCGGTAGAATTTCAGATGAGCACGACACCCCAAGGGCGTTTGCCGACGGGCAAAATACGTCTCGGTTTGACACGGGAAAAAAGCAATCTCGCATAATCGCACTACAGCTGACACTGCAGCATTATCTATGCTCGGGTCATAGCTTTACTCGCCCTGAGACTTGGTGCAAGCCCGCCTGTGATGTGGGATGGGGCACGCAGACGTGCCCTGTCGTTGTTTTCTGTGCAAGGTAGAGTGTCCGGTATCTCTGAACTTCTTGACGAAAAGCGTACTCTGGGTCTTGATACAGTAGTAGACGTAGAGGGACCCCCCAGACCTTCCAAGAGCTTGACGACGCACGCGACCGGAGTCGGGGGGATAGGTCTTGGAGACCACACACCCCCCTTAGCGGCGGCTAGCCTGTATCCACTGCCCAACCACCGTCAGTCACCAGCGACGATGAGACCGGCACCCAGTAGCACGGCCGGTCAAACACTACTAGACCGTCATAACGCACGTCAAGTAAGCACCCATATGCATCCCTACGTGGAACCCGGCGTCCCCAGCCGTGGACCAACACCCCTCCACCGGCACCACTTTCACAGGAACCCGACCCGAACTCGCTAGTCCGATGAAGTGAGACTTCAGTCGGGGGTGGCCTTCTCAGGGCGGGACGAAACAAACTAAGCCGCAGTACCCTCGGACCGCGAAAGCCTCGAACCTTGGCCAATCGAGCCACACCACACACAACCAGGTAGCCCCACATCGATGTACCACCCGGGAGGGGGGGAATATTGCGATACCTACCACTCGAAGAGCGAACCGGGTCCAGTGCACTTGTCCTGGAGCGCCGGTTATACCCAGCACGTACAAAAGCTGTTACGCGGCCGCCTGCCCCCGTTGTGCGCGCGAACAGGCGCCGGCCCAGGGTTAGCTGAGACTACCGACTCGTGGCGGCCAGACTCCACTAATCACATTGGTCATCCCAGCCATTGCCCACTTGGTTTTCGGCAAACCGCTCCCACGGGCCTGGTTCATGACCAGCGACTGGCAGTGACTTTGTGCCACAACAGGGTTAGCAAGAGCACCCGCCGGAAATTATCAGATAGCTCGGCTTGATGGCTACTTAGCAAGCCTAAACGACCATACACCTATAAAGAGGGTGACCCACGGATGCGAACACCGGTGGAGACGACACAAAAAAGTCTGAGAAGTTCCGTAATAAAAATTCTATGGTGGAGTATATGACAGTAAGGACAACATGATGAACGTCTTAACTGGAACTCCTCACAAAGGTACATAACAATGGGGAGCGAGGGGGCAGTAGAAAACAAGTCACGGTAACACAAATGCGTCGCCAATTAAATGCGGTATAAAGGCAAGTAGAAAGAAAACATGCAGGTGATTTAAATGATCTCAAAAGGGGACGCGATAGATAAACTGTACAAATCAGCAAAACGGTGCATCTTGTGAGGTTGGGAAATCCCGTGGTTGACGTGAGATCCAAGCAGGTTACGCCCACCCGGTGCACACTAATCTATGCATCATCCTTGGATCCATTGACAGCCTCCACGGCATGATCGCCGGCTTCGTCGGTTGCCTTACACTTAGCGCTAGGGGCATCCTCCGGCTCTTGAGTCTCGCCAACGGGCCGCTTAACTGCTCGCCTGGGACCTGTCACACCAGATCCCGAGAGGTCGGCGACCTCATCTTCGTCGACTTCTTCGTCATCCTCCTCCTCGTCGTCTTCATCTTCTTCATCCTCATCGTCAAGATCGTCTACGTCTTCGTCCTCAGCACCTACAGTCCAAGGAGGCTGTTAAAATCCCCAAAAGAACAGTGGGAAAGGAGTCAGGACAGAAACACGCACCTGGAACATAGTCCTCTTCGTCATCCTCTAGTTCTTTGCTACCCTGCAGCGCAGAAATCCCGACCTCTTCTTCCTCCTCCTCGTCATCTTCTTCATCATCGTCCTCCTCATCACCCTCTTCTACGTGTGACCCATTTTTCTCGGGCGCCACATCTACCGAAGGACATTAAGCGTCACATGACAACCTACCCTTGAGTGGCTTATGAACGGCATCCGACGCATCGTCAATAACAGGTTCATCTTCGCCGTTCCTAAGACAAAATTACGCTAGACGGAGGACTTACTGGTCGAGACCATCTAAGTACTGCAATTTCGGAAGGATGGAGAAGACTTCTTTGCGGTAGTCTTCGATAGCAGCAATCTCGCAGTTGTTAAGTTCAAGGGACTTCAAATTGGCAAGGTTGGCTAAGGGAGACAGGTCAGATACGGTCTTCAGTTTGTTCCCAGACAGGTTGAGAACCTCGAGCTTAGGACATTCGGTCAGGGATTCAACGCCATCTACGATCGGGTTCTCCGACAGATCCAACTACAAGTTAGTGACTGAAGAAATGAAGTACCTTAATGAGTTGGGGAAGAGCCGGGAAGCCCTTTAGTGTAGTTAAGCCAACACCCACGAGACTGAGCCTCTGGAGGTTGGTGTACTCAGTAGTGATACCCTCAATTTCAGTAGCACTGCATCCATCGAGATTTAAATCTTTGACCTAATGGGCAAATAAACTCTACCGATAGACTTACTTCAGCAGGTTGTTTGTCCTTAATTTCGAGTTCCAGGCGCTGAGACATTGGTACGACCGACATGATCGAGGACAGGCGAACACAAGGAGAGGGCGCGAAGAATGGACTCACCGATCGAAAAAGTGCAGGAAATGCTAACCTCGTTATGCATTAAAACACCAAATCAAAAATTTAAGAAATGGACAGAATGATCAAAGAAATACAAGAACGGACTTTTTAAATGATTTAAAGATTTTTTTAAAATTTACATTTTTCTGGTAGAGACTCGGAAATGCATTACAAGCAGGTCACCCCTTTTCGATTTCGATTGGGAAAAAAATAATGCGTGCAGTCATTCCGTTTGGAAAGTCAGGATCAGCTTTTGTAAAATACTTCCTGGAATGTAAACTCCAACGCAGTATCGGAGGTGTTCATCAGAAACCTAGGTGTGGTTGCCGCTGGGTGCCTACTTATACTTGGTACAACTGAGAACGTGTGACTTAGGTGATCTTGGCTTTGCTGTTGATAACTCCCCTCCACGCGTGACGTTCTTTGGTTGCGAAACCGAACATGTTGTCTAACTCCTTTATCCTGTGACAAAAACCGAATACCTAGTATCCAAGAGGAATCTCCATGTCTTGGCTGCGTGCGTTGTGAGAACTATTCCGAACTGCAATTCGACGTCTCTAGGTCAGCATTAGCGCAGAATTCATGCTTAAGCAAACTCATTTGCACTTCTTGAATGTCCTTAATGGTCCTTCTCATCCCGTAAAAATGACCGTGAGCCGTCTTACTTAAGAAAAAGTCCGAAGTATACCCTCATCACACACCTCCAGTTTCGTTTATCGTTAGCCAGCACCACGCAAAATTAAAATAATGTCAGGGAATTCATTAGAAGCATTCCCCGTGCACGGACCCTTTTGCGGGATGATGTAGTCGCGTCAAGTTTTTAGGCACTTTCTGCGGTAGATCTCGCTTTATGACTTTCCTGCTTTCTCGGAATTAGGCACAAGTGTGACCGCGTCCCAGTCATCGGGGAAAAGACCATCTTCTCACGCTTGCTCGATCACCTCATGAAACATAGGCGCCAGATTTGCAGGCTTCATTGTGGAGGCTATCTTATCCTAAAGCCTTAATCACACAGTCGCAGTACTGGAACGATATTTTTCCCTGGGGATCGGGAAAATCTGCATTATTAGATTAATTTTTTGCATTGAAACCTTTGTACATGAAACTGACCAGGTTACCTTCCGTCTTTCGTAAAACGATGTATTTCTTGTGGCTATAAATTTTCCCCTCCACTTGACTAGAAACTGACAAATAAACGTCAAAATTCACGCCTAGATGAGACAACCAGTCTACCAAAATCAACTGTCTGGATTTAGACTTTATGAAACCATCAGACAGCTTAGATGAGGTCACCTCCATGCCACCCCTCGGTCGAAGTGGCCATCTAGAGCCTGTGTGGGATTATTCGTTATTCTTAATTTTGCATACAACAGAACAAAAAGACGTGACATTTGGCAGGGCCGTCTCAATGAGTTGAGGGCAGACTTATCCGGTCCCGAGTGGAGCTCGAAGTTTACGGGTAATGCCAGCGATGATTGGCATTTGTTCCAGAATATCCTTCTACATCTCATCAAAAAACACTGTCCATTGACGGGTGTAGGACAGAACAAACCGCCTGGGCGGCTAAATGGAAACCTAAAGAAAAAAATTAACAGGAAGCAAAAATTATGAAAAAAACACTCTGTGAGTGGGCAAGTTGAGTGCTTCAACAACTACGAGACACTAAGAAACAAACTGAGAAGCATGCTTATATAGACGAAACGAGAATTTGAGCAAAATTTGCTAAGAAAGGCAAAAAAGAACCTAAAATTACTTTAAAGCTACCTCAGAAGAAGTACAAGACACAGACACCAAATCTCCTTAATAAGGACTACCGGTGGCGTCGAGATTGCTGACAGCAGGCACAAAGCCGCGTATTTTTCACAGTTTTTCCAATCAGTCTACATGAACGAGGCAAGGTTCCTCCCTTGATCCAAGCATAAGTAATACCCTCATATTAGAAGGTGTTGTCCGAAGAGAATTAGCGGCACTGAACGAGTCGAAGTCGCCAGGAGATTCCGCCTAAGTTTCTCAAAGAACTTGCCAATAAGCTTTGTGTGCCTTTTTCGATGCTCTTTTAAACGGCATTTAACACTGGAACACTTCCTATCGATTGGTAGCTGGCGCACATTAAGCCGCTATACAAAGGAGTTAACAGGGCGTCGACGTCATATTATATGCCCATAAGCTTGACATGCATTCACTGCAAATTTCTGGAGAGGACCATAAAGAGTGAATTAATGCAATTCCTGGAAGTTCACGACTTGCTGTCGGAATGCCAACATAGGTTCTGGAAAGGAGGATCAGGTACGACAAACTTGCTGCTGTCTCTCCAGAGCTGGACCCGAGCTCAACGACGGGCACTCGGTCTACGTAGCTTTTATTGACTTCCAGAAGGCGTTCGACGCTGTGCCACACCAGAGACTGTTACATTAACTGAAAAAAACAGGGATCAGAGGCAACTTCTTTAAATGGATCGAAAACTACCTTGTGGGTCGACAGCAGGTTGTGTGCATTGGCCAAGGAAAATCAGGTCCTGCTGTGGTCGAGGGTGGTGTTACCAAGGGTCAGTACTGGGACCCATTTTGTTCCTAATATACGTAGACGATTGCGCAAGAGCTTCGGACTACGAAGTAGCAATATTTGCAGACGACATGAAAATAGGGAGTATGATTCGAAGCCTGCCGAAGAAGACAGGCTGCAGATGAACCTAAATCGACTGGAAGAGTGGTCAAACCATTGGCTTCTGAGGTTTAATGTTGACAAGTGCAGTGTGTAAATGTTTGCACCGCCAAACTGTATGAAATTTTGGATCCACTCACTTCTCATTTTGTCCCCCGTAGGAAAGTTATTAATGCTGTGGATGAGGTTTAGCCCCCCTTACCCTTCAGCCGTAGGCTGCGCAGACTTTCTCGTTGATTTCACCTTCAGAATGACATTTCCGTTCTGCCCTCCATTCGTGATACTTTTCGAGCGAGCTAAGAGATTGTCTGAAGAAAAACAGCTAGCGGAGGAGGTCCAATTAACCGAAGGCCGTCCGTCAAATGTCTCGAAACTTTTCTCCCGAAAAGCACGAACTCATAGTAAAACGCAGCATCCCAACCTCGGAGACGCTTTCGCGATTCCTATAGCTGATGCCTAGTTGGCCGCTGATAGTTTCCATGCTTTCCAGCCGAAAACGTTTATAATAATAATGATAATTTTATTTAATTCCAGGAGAAAAAAAACTGCTGGCGGCAAACTTTCGACCGTCAAGAAGGGAGGGGTTTCACGGTATCGGATATTATCGTTTGCCAATTTCTTTCATGAAGCTGAGGCGAAGAACAGCTGTCGCTATTGGCCGAAGAAATTGTTCCTGGTGAGACCGCTCCGCTTCCGACCATCCAGGCATTGACCGGGGCAGCTCTCAAAACTGTAAATGAATGAGTTTGGTTTGGGTTTTTTTCCTGAGTTCGGAGGAGACTGACAGTGCCCGAGGGGTGCTATAATAAACCTATTCTATAACCGTCACTGTATGGGACATGAATGTGGCGATTCGGCGTTTTCGTCAATCTCATTACACTGGACATGATGGTGTCCCAGTTAGCATATTAAAAGCTGATGCAAATACGATTTTCCTATCCCTCCTGTGCATGATATTTAATCTTGCTCTTGAAAGTGAGACCTACTCGTGTTTGAATTTGAGTCGTATCCCCAGCTCTCCGAGTTTTCGTCGAATTTACTTGATAGTATAGGGCAGACTGAATGTCGCGTGGAAATAAATTGCGAACTGACAACGTATCCTTTGGATTTGGATTACAAGTACATCAACTCGAAAGTTCTATCATTATTGGAATTTTCGGATCTCGACGTTATTTCCCACGGTATCAGGAGGAAGATTCTACCCGAATTCTTCAAGGAACAGCACCACTGA